GCGGGAGCGCCACCGCACTCCCAAGCGGCGCACTGTAGCAGTGCGCCACCGGGCCGGCCCACTTCAGTAATTTTTGAATATGTGAGCATACATGACTTTTTAAAAATAAAATCAGGTTTTTATTGTACATACTAGTTATATTTAACCTACTTTTTGTTTTATGCAGTTCTTCCATGCAGAATTCTGAGAACATACTTTTTGTTTTTAATGATTATCATTTTCTTATGTTACTAACTAAATTCTGCAACATGATTTTATATAGCTATGTAGTAAGACTGATTAATGAGTTTAATCACATTCCTTATTTTAAACCTTTAAGTTGTTGCTATCTTTATTTTGCTAAACATACATAATAAACTAAATAGATAAATTATTTTGTAGTATACAATGAACAAAGCAAATCTACTTTTAAGATTAAAGAGAAACATCTAATCTCAAAAAACTGCATTGCTATAATCTTTGCCTTGAACTAAATGTTAAAATCTGTACAATGTTTCACATTCATACAATAACTATGTCCGGACAAGAAAAACTGATGTTCAAGCCCATAACGTCTAGAGTGGAATATATTTGTTGTTGTTGTTGTTTTAGCTTTAATTAAAAATTTTATTTTTATTTTTTTTTATTTATTTATTTATTTATTTATTTATTTATTTATTTATTTAATTGTACTTGTTATATCTTTTCCCCCCCACCCCAGTTTTTTGTGTGTGTGTGTGTGTGAATTTATTTATTAATTTTTAGCTCCCACCAATAAGTGAGAGCATGTGGTATTTCTCTTTCTGTGCCTGACTCGTTTCACTTAATATAATTCTCTCAAGGTCCATCCATGTTGTTGCAAATGGCAGTATTTCATTCGTTTTTATAGCTGAGTAGTATTCCATTGTGTAGATGAAGAGTGGAATATATTTGAATGATAAAACACTAAGGTCATCATAACAAATATCCCTAAAGATAGAGAATCCACAGACTTCCTTAGGAGTATAATTATGGTTCGTAAAGTTCAAAAGAAGTTTGGTATCCTATCCCTTGCCAGATTACACTTACATCAGTATGGAAAACCTACTCATCTCTCCTTTTTGATTTAAGTTAAAAACACAACAAATTAATACAAATTCCCCACAAAAGAAAATTAAATTTTTCTTTGCTAAAATCAGCATTACTTGTAAAATGATATTTACAGCTACCCAATTTCTGCAGATTTCTTAGAATCCCCACTTGCAGTCTTATTTGCTCTTGCTTATTCCTAATAACTGCTAGTAACTGCTGGTAACTGCTAGTGACTCCTAGTAACGGCTGCTTATCACCACTGAGATATGCCTTCATACACTTGGAAACTTTTCTCTATTTCACACTCTCCTCCACTTTACAGAGTCCTCATTCTTTTTATCTGCCCCCCACCCAGGACCTCTTTTTTATTTTTATACCGTCTTTCCCCACATTTCATTTGTATTAATGGTCTCCAAATAGGACACAGTTTGTTGTTTATGAAATGAATATTCATATTCCAAAATATATAAATAAAATTAGATTTCTGTTTATCTGTTATTGCATTTGGCCAAAGATGGCCAGATGAACTTTTACCAAATTTGTATAGGGTATGCTTGTATAGGGTCTGATGTAAAATATAGTCTATGTGGTGTACACAGAATTTGCTTTGGAGTTCTGTTAGGGATACCTCAAAAAAATAAGGTAGTCATCCTCTAGAGCAGCTGAAAACCAGGTGCAGGCTTGTGTGAGACATGTCACATCTACTAAGATACTGGGTAGAACTCAAGTATAAAATGCCACAATTGAACTATAAAAACAAATTTTTAGATAATAAAGTCTAACAAAATTCCAGGCACTTTCAATGTAATTAAATAATTTATGTATAAATGTCTTCAAAGGAGAACTATTTTAATTTAGTAAAACGCTACCGTCAATTTAAGCTTACTTTATTTTAAATATTCAAATGACCCCAACTTCCTAACAGCTCTTAAACTACTGATAAACTTGAATTTTTTTTTTTTTTTTGTCCTTTTTGAGACCGGCTGCACCGCGCTCAGCCAGTGAGTGCTGTGAGCGCACCGGTCATCCCTATAGAGGATCCGAACCCGCTGCGGGAGTGCTGCTGCGCTCCCAGCGCTGCACTCTCCCGAGTGCGCCACGGGCTCAGCCCTAAACTGGAATATTTTTTCAACACTAGCCCAAACTTCACAGCATAGGCAAAAGAACACCTAAGCTAAGTCACTGATGCATCTTCATAAAACAACATGCTTAGTTTGGAAAAGAGTGTTTTCCAGAATTTACTTAGTCTTAGTTTTAGAATATAAAAAGTGCTTGCTGAGTTACATAAGTTGTTAGGAAGATTCCATTAATTAATCCAAAATACATGGAACATTGAAGTATATTTCAATTTCTTTCCTTTATAGTTTTGTTCTTCTTCTTTCTTTTTTCTATCTTAATGGATTTTTCACAAATACACATTTTAAGTTTAATCTCCTTTTCTATTTACTCATTTCCCCTCTCCATTGTAGTTAAACTTTGGACTAAATATAGAATTCAATAGCTGTATTTAAAAAGGAAAAAAAGCATAGCTTAGTGAGGTAGCATGGAAAAGTGGGATCCAGGATCGTAGGACTTTAAAAAAAAAAAAAAAAACTTACGTTCTTTCCACTACCCTTTTAATATTGAGTAGGTGGGTCACTTTCCATATATTTAACCAAAAATAACCCCTATAAGGAGCTAAACATCAAAGAACACAAACCTACATGTATATTTTTACTGTTGTAAGTAGATCTAATTTGTTCCCACTTATTCATATGATATCAATGTGTGTGTGTGGTGGTGAGACAGGGGTTGAGATTCAGCAAAAAATACTTGATGATTGACTCACTATATTTATTTGTTCATTCATTAATTCATTCCCTACCTTGTTTCTGAAAGTATCTAAGGCAGCTAGTTTGGTGAATTACATGTATATAATGAAAATCATAATAGCAGACTGAACTAGAATTAAATTACTCAATTCACATTTATATAGCATTTAATTATAGTTTTCAAAGTGTCTTTCTACATATTTCCATTTGGGTAAAATAAAAGGCTTCTAGTAACTTATCAAACATATTTTAAATAAAATCCTTTTAAAATGAATTTTTTATAGCACTTGATTTTAAATATTTTATAAAAATAACTTAAAATTATATTTTTTTCTGCTGGTAGATAAAAGTACCTTTTCTTTTTAATTCTCCAAGGATACTTGGTCTAACAATGTTGCTATGGTTTTGGCTTCTTCTAAAATAAAATCATCATGATCATTATAATAAAATTTTTGAGCTAAATTAGCAATGACTATTTCATTATAACAGATCTAAGGACATACACTAAAAGAGGACTATGTATGTACACTATATGACATCACATCGTTTTACTGCTTTTCTCTAAATGTGGGTAAAAACAGGAATGTCTCAAGAGCAAACCGTCTTCTAATTGACAGGGTTCAGGATTTTGAGTCCTACAGTCTAAAAGGACCTGCAGTCCTGGCTGGGACTTACCTCAAATCAAGGTGAGAATCATGAATGAAGTTGTTTAAAGTTCTAGAGATAGCTCTGATCCTTATCAACAAGCTTGGTCAGAGGAAGATTATGTTCAAGCAGGGTTAATGAATTACTTAATTCTTCACATGATCTCATATGCTCTTAGTTACTTGATTTTTTTCAGTATATAAAAGGATAAACTCAAACAATGACATTTTAATTTCACTAAAAAGAAATCACTTCTTTGTCACAAAACCTGGAGTTATAACTTCTTTCATGTGTCTAAAATTCTTATTTTATAAGCAATTTGGTATTTTCATGTAACATGAACTTACACTGAAAATTGTAGCAAAGGACTGGGAATAGGACTTCGAGGCAAACTGGTACAATTCACACAAGTTTGTAATGATGGAGAAAAACATTGCTAGAACCAAATTGGAACAGAGGATTTAAAACTGCCATTTTTCTCAGAAAGCAGGTCAGTGGTTTCTCAGGGTGGGTAGGGGTGGTGAGGCAGGAGAGTGTGGGAACTCTTCTATATCCTGATTATGGTTGTGGTTACAGGATTATAACATAATTACTAAAATTAATCTAACCGTACACTTAAAAGTGGGTGGATTTTATTATATGTAAATAATACTTTAAGAAATGAAAAAGACAGGAAAGCTGTTACTTAGAATCAGATATACTATGGTAAAATATATCCCCCAAAAGATTTAAGTGGGTAACCACAAATGTTTCATAAATACTTCAAGGTACATAGGCTTATAGGCACTCCTTTCTTACCTTCCCAATCCCCCTGCCAGAAGAAGCCACTGAGGATACTGGAGTTAAATCAATGCACTTTAGAGAGGATGGTTTCTCTACATCATTGTCATTCTGTGCAAGCAGAAAGTAGTGTACAATTGTAGCCCTGACCACTTACTAATCAAATACTTAGGGAGGTAACTGTTGCATGGGGAACTCTCACCATCCTAAAGTAAGCGGGGAACCCAAGACTCACTTTAGGAAGCAAAGGCACCCTTTGCCTTTTGGAGAAAAGAGCTATATGGTGTTTGAGGGGCTTCCTAGCACCTCAGAAAGACTTAGATTGTGCAATACATACTATATACACAAACCCTAAATTTAAGCTTTTCTCTTTGAGTTTGACCTGTGCTTTGTTATTAAATCTACAATATTATGTCTAGGAAAGAACCAGAAAGAATTTGGCTAGAACTAAGATACAAATGGGATGGCAGGAATAACTACATCTATGAAAAATGTTTATAGATTTTATGTGGGCAAAATCTGCTCTCTTCTTTTCCAAAACACAAGCCAAGTTAAACTTGTATGTTACATGTTCCCTTCCTCCTAACATAATCACAGATTCTCTTACTCGCTCACTCATGCCAACACCTAAAGTAATTAGAATTGGGCCAGTGAAGGGACTCCAGTGGCATCTATAAATTGTATTAGCACCAAAGCATGAAAAGTGACATTCTCCAGAGGTTATCTACTCATTCTTCAGGGATAGACACCCATCTAAGGCACTCAGGGCTGAAAGGAAAATAAGATGTCATTGCTTCTGCTGATGATCCATTTCCTTATCTAATAACTCCCAAATCTGGAAAGTGACATTAACCAGAATATCTCCTACTCAAATTTCAGCTGAATTCTTATTCTGTCATTATCTGAGATGTCCGTGAAAAAGAACAGCAAACATCATTCAATTACCACAACTAAATAACCATAATGTGTACAGAGACATTAAACAAATGTTAATGAGGGATGTAACTAAATCTAAATATGTTTAAATTAAAGGTTGTATGTTAAAATGTTAGTGGGAGTATGTGTGTTACAGGCATAAAGATGCAATATTTTTCATCTGTGCTTTGAAACTCTCATATATAGTTAATAAATTATGTAGAAGGGAGTGAAATCACTTATTGTTCTGTAATCTAAGCATTTTAACCAGCACAACTGAACTTTTTTTAGGCCTACTAGGACAGAAAGGAAGCTAATCCAAAACAGCCATGGTTTTGTATCACACAACTATTTACATTGAACCCCACTTTCAAACAATGATAATTATTTTTATGGGTAAATCATAAACTGTTTCTTAGGAGCAATCAAAAATTACTTATGCAGCAGATACAATTTTAGTTTCAAATGAGAGCTTAAGTTTCTAGAAATTACAGCAAAACTAGGTAATGCCAACACTGCAAATAAATAAAAATTTGAAGTTTTCTACAAAATTGAAGTGTTAATACCATACCAGGTTCAAACTTTCTTCCCAAGATTGACTTATGTGTATTGCAGTTTGTACTACCCTATGAAAGAAAAGAAATCAGTACTGCAGTTACCCTATCTGAAAGAAAAGATACAATTGAATATACAAATTATCAGAATAGTAATTCAAAGTGCAGTACTCACCGTTCTTGCGTTGCTTCTTTATTTATTAAATCCACGCTTTCTTCCTGAAAGGTGGGAAAATGAGAATAAACTGAATACCCAGTTCCTATGGTTTTACAAAGTTTGATTTCATTTGGATGTCCCTGTGTTATTATTAACTAAGCTATAAAGGAGCTAGAATAGAAATGAATTTCTAAATAAGTATATGGTTCTCTACATTGCTGCACAAAATATTGCAGCAAAGATCTAATACACATGCATTACAGTACATCAGATACACAGGAAGTGATTAGATGAAAAACTTGATACCTTTCTGTATTCAAGAGAAAACATCAAACATTCAAAATTGTATAATTTCCTCTACTATTAATACTATGATATTAAAAAAAATACTCACAGTTCAAAACAAACTAAATGTCTACTAAAGGCATTTTTGAAAGGCTCAAGGAAAGGCTCGTGGAAAATGCATATTATGAAAAAAATTTGCATGGATTTCAAAAATTTTTGCACCAAAATAAACTCATACTAACTTGTTATAACGTTTCTGAACAGGATCTAGTTTGAGGCACTAAGAAGGATAACACATCAGTGTGAAAAGAGATCCTATCAGAGGAATATGAGTTCTGCTAAAATTGAGGTAAGAACAAATATCAAATTTATGGGGAAGCTTGGGTGGAAGAATGATGAAATCACTGATGGATAGAGAACTCGTTTTAAGGAGAGACAAGACAATTTTGAAGAGGAAGCCCACAGCAGCAGACCATCCTCACCAATTTGTAAGGAAAAAATTAATCTTGATCATGCCGTAATTGAAAAGTACAGGTGATTAAAAGGAGAAACAGTAGCCAACACCATAGACATCTTAATTGGTTCAGCTTACACTATTCCGACTGAAAAACTGAAGTTGAGCAAACTTTCCGCTCAATGGGGGCTGATTGCTGTGCCCAGATCAGCTGCAGACAAGAGCAGAGCTTTCAGTGGAAATGTTAAATAAGTGGGATCAAGACTCTGAAGCATTTCTTTGAAGAATGATAACAGGAGATAAAACATGGCTTTACCAGCATGATCCTGAAGAGAAAGCACAATCGAAGCCATGGCTACCAAGAGGTGGAAGTGGTCCAGTCAAAGCAAAAGGGGATGATCAAGAGCAAAGGTCATGGCAGCGGTTTTTTGGAACACTCAAGGCATTTTGCTTGTTGACTTTCTAGAGGGCCAAAGAATGCTAATATCTGCTTATTATGAGAGTATTTTCAGAAAATTAGCCAAAGCTTTAGCAAAAAAATGCCTGGGAAAGCTTCACCAGAGAGTCCTTCTTCACTACAATAATGCTCCTGCATCAAACAATGGCAATTTTGTGAGAGTTTCAATAGAAAATCATTTGGCATCCACCTTACAGTCCTGATTTGGCTCCTTCCGACTTCTTTTTGTTTCCTACTCTTAAAAAATCTTTAAATGGCACCCATTTTTCCTCAGTTAATAATGTAAAAAAGACTGCATTGACATGGTTAAATTCCCATGACCCTCAGTTCTTCGGGGATGGACTAAATGGTTATTCCCATCACTTACAAAAGTGTCTTGAACATGATGAGGCTTATGTTGAGAAAGTTTATACACGTATTTTTTTTATCTTTTAAATCCATTTTTTTCATAAACTTTTTGAAGTCTCCTCATATCAGTATGAGTTTGCTTAAGTAAATGATGGTAAAAACATGATTTAAATCTAGCTATTGTCATAAAAAAATAGGTATGACATATTAAGTGGGAAAAAATGGATTTGACAAATATTTATGAAAAAATTATAAGAGGTGTTCAGAAGGATGTTCACCAAAAAATTAACAGTGGTTATCAATGAGTAGTGAAATTTGAAGTATACTGCTCTTTCTTTCATTGTACTTTACTATATTTTGACTTTTCTATTATATGCAAGTATCCCTTTCACATAAATAGTTACTTTTAAGAATAAACCATACATGGAAAGATATCCATGTTCATGGATTGGAACACTTAATTATTATTAAGATGACAATTCTACCTAAAGTGATCTACAAATGCAATGCAACCCCTGCCAAAATCCTAATGGCATTTTTTGCAGAAATAGAAAAACCCATCCTAAAATTCATGTAAAATATCAAGGGGTCCCAAGTATCCAAAACAATCTTAAAACAAGAACAAAGTTGGAGGACTCACACTTCCTGATTTTGAAACTTCCTACAAAGCTATAGTAATCAAAACAGTATGGTATTGGCATAAGAACAGACACACAGACCAATGGAATAGAATAGAGAGCCCAGAAATAAACCCTCACATATATGGTCAAATGATTTTTGAAAAGGATGCCAAGACCATTCAATGGGGAGAGGACAGTCTTTTCAACAACTAATGTTGGTACAACTGGATTTCCACATGTAAAAGAATAAAGTTGAACCCTTTCCTTATACCATATGCAAAAATTAACTAAAAATGAATCAAAGGCCTAATCTTAAGAGCTAAAACTATAAAACTCTTAGAAGAAAACATAGGTTAAGTCTTCATGATGTTGGATTTGGCAATGATTTCTTGGGCATGATACCAAAAGCACAGGCAGCAAGAGAAAAAACATAAATTGGTCTTCATCAAAATTTTTAAAAATGTTTGTGCATCAAAAGACACTATCAAGAAAGTGAAAAGACAACCAGAGAATTTGAGAAGATATTTTTCAAATCATGTATCTGATAAGGGGTTAATAACCAGGATATATAAAGAACTCCTACAACTCAATGAAAACAACAACAATGACAACAAAACCCAATTAAAGTATGGGCAAAGGACTTGAATAAATGTTTCTCCAAAGAAGGTACATAAATGGCCAAAAAGTACATGAAAAGATTATCAACATCATTAGTCATTAAGGAAATGCAAACCAAAACCACAACGAGACACCCCTTCACACCCATCAAGATACCTATTATTTTTAAATAATGGAAAACAAGTGTTGGCAAGAATATGGAGAAACTGGAACCCCTGGATATTGTTGGTGGGAACAAAAACTGGTGCAGACTCTGGGGAAAACTATTTGGTAGTTCCTCAAAAATTTTAACATAGAATTACCAAACAGTCCATCAATTTCACTTCCAGGTATACACCCAAAAGAACTGAAAGCAGGTACTCAAATGGATACTTTTACACCAATGTTCATAGCAGCATTATTCACAATAGCTAAAAGGTGGAAACAATGCAAGTGTTCATCAACAGATGGATAAAAAATGTGGTATAGCCATACAATGGAATATTATTCAGCCATAAAAAGAAATGAAGTTCTGACACATAATACAACATGGATGAATCCTGAAAACATTATGCTAAGTGCAATAAGCCAGATATGAAAGGTCAAATATTTTATGATTCCATATATATGATGTGCCTAGAATAGTCAAATTCATAAGGACAGAAAGTAGGATATAGGTTGTGGGGGTGGTAGTGAGAATGGGGAGTTATTGTTTAATGGGTACAGTTTCTGTTTGGAATGATGAAAAAGTTCTGGAAATGGAGAGTGGCGATGGCTGCCCGATATTGTGAATGTACTTAATGCCACTAATTGTACTCTTCAAAATGGGTAAAATAATTAAAAAAACAAAACAAAACAAAAAACCACAGTCGAAATTTATCCTGGCATTCTTAAAAACATATTCCATACATAATAAAGTATCTAGTATAGTGTGGGGCAAATATGGTATTAAATATTGTTGGGAACATGAAATAAGCAAATGAGCCTTCCCTAAAGAAGCTTCAAGTAGTACTTGAGAGCCAACATTTATATGTGTGAAGCTGGTGCTCTCCAAAGTGAGAACAAACATAGCCTAGGGGGTGCATGAGATGATCCACTGAGAAACAGAAAGAAAAAATAGAGATTATATATAGATATATAGATATAGATATAGATATAAAAAATACACACACACGCACACATGAGGGGTCTCCAAAAAGTTCATGGAAAGATTTGTATTATTTTTGAATTTCATTTTTCCACAAACTTTTTGAAGTGTGTGTGTGTGTGTGTGTGTGTGTGTGTGTACTAAGACAGTAATAAAGGAAGGCTTACTGATATTACATATACAGATTGACACAGGTGCCCTCACTCAGCCCATAGGTTTCAGAGATCTTATGAGAGAAAAGCATTTGGGGCATTTACCTGATTACAAGTAATTGCAGTTTATCTGTGTGAAGTTAGGTAGATACATGAATCTAGTTTTAACTAAACCAATCCCCTCAGAATGGATAAGTGTCTTAGTAAGATTCCTACAAAGAAACCTTAGACAGAAGATACTACTAGTAGTACAAATTGAAGCAAATATTAGGAAAATGGCAAAGGTGAAACTTGTGCCATTCCTAGCACAGCTTATCATCTGCCACATTACTGTGAAAATACAATGCTGAGCTACTCTGAGCTATCAAAGAGCTGGATAAAATAATAGACTAGCACAGTGGCACACGTCCAAAGTATAAAAGTAAATACTGTATACATATACTGAAGGCATATGCTCAAACCTTTTTTACTGATGCAGTGTGATCAAAAGACTTTAAAGGTTGTCGTCTATAGTATAAACAATAAATGTTTTGGGTAGTCCATAATAGAATAGAGTTGTGTGAAAGAATTAAAATTTGGCCTAGGGCTTCCAAGATCTGGATGAGATTATTTAAGACAAATTATTTAAGATAGGGTCTTAAATGGTTGAAGAGTTTGAACTTAAGAGTTTGGGCAGAGTAGCATAGTTGTTAGAACTACAGGCTTTGGAGCCAAATAGAACTGAGTCGAATCCCAGCTCTGTAACTTACTACCTGTGCAACCTTAGGCAAGTGAGGAATCCTGAGCTTCAGTTTCTTCATCCATATGAAGATGATGATAATAATGAGGATAAAGGAGTGGTTATACAGTTCTCATCATAGTGGCTAGCATATAGTAAATGCTCAATACATATTAGCTATTCTTATTATTATTCAGTAGGTAATGGGAAAAGATTATAACTTTTTGTGTAGGAGAGAAAAGGTGAAAATAACGTTTTAGAAAAGTTGTCTTGGTGTTGATTGT